AAAGCCAAGAGAATCTCAAAGAGGAGAATTTTTATGGACACCCGTGTAGATCAGGAACCTTTGAGACCGTTCAAAAGATCAGACGAATCATTTGAAATAACTAACGACTCAGCATCAGAATGAATGGACAAATGATCTTCACTCTGTGTAAAGAGCATAAGTAAAATAAGTAAAGTTATATATCTATATAAGTTATATATCTATAGATGAATAAATCAGTTTGAATTAAGTATTAATATGCAGATATATCTATCTTCGTTTTCAATTATATTTAAATCAATGTTATTGAACAAACTTTATTGCAAGTGAATATTTTCTCATAGTTTCAGATTGCTTCCGTGAATTCAGAATTTTGGGTCGGTGTGAATTACAAAAAATTAAATATCTTGGAAACATTTTAATAGAGCACAGAGAGCGTAGCACTGAAATCCAAAGAAATTTTTTTTTTTGATTTAAAAATTTAAAAGTCATCTAGGTTACTGTTGTGACTTTGTTAGGGCCAGAAATAAAAACACAAGAGAGGAATTGAATTAAACAAATATATTATCAGAAACAGTAATAGAAACATATACGAGAGTGTTACAGCAAGAATGTTAAGTCTGACTGTCAGAACTAACTATTGGAAACTTCCCTCTACAAAAGGCAGTACCTGCTCCTATTTATAGCAGGGCGAGTCCATGCATACATTGGTAAATTAACATAACAGATACAAAATTTCCATAATCACAATAGTAGTGTAGATAGGTATAATTTTCTTTATCATAAACTTTGGAATAAAACAGAATGAAGAATATAAAGTATTTTTATTTATTTTCTTTAGAGTGATAAGTGAGTCCTTTGGTATTTGGTATAGCAAAAAGTTTGTTAGTAAGGTGAATATTGCTTGTATGATTAAAGAAACTCCACAGGTGGTAGTTTTTGGAGTCAGATCATGATAGAGTTACTAGTGATGTTAGAAATTGGTATGTGTCAATCTACTGCATTATCCTTGGTCTTAAACAAGGCAGAAATATAATTATAGATGACCTCTTAACTATTTTTTTCACATGTCACACATGTCTGGTTCATCTGCAGTAACATTCTTTTGTTCTGTCCTGTCCTATTCTCTTCTACTCTCTAGCTAATATACGTTTAGACCTAGCTCCAAGAATTTGGTGTGAACATTAGTTTCGCCAAATCTCAAAAGTCTGTTTTGTGTAATTTTTTGATTGGCCCAAATTATTTTATTTTTCAGCATTTCTTTCTTTTTCATTTTTATTTTATAATGGAAGTTATGCTTGGAGCCTCCCTGATTTTTGGTATTTTTCACTCACAAATAAGTATGTTCTGTTCCTGCAAACTTCCGTTTTTTTCAGATATGTTCAGTCGTTTCTTCGTCTTCCTCTTTTTATTTGAGGGTTGCCTTCACGTTAGTTGAGAGAAGTATAGAAAAAGAAGTTTAAAGAAAAAGAGAGAGAGAAAGAGATAAGAGTTTTAAAAGAAAAATGAAAGTGCTTTATTTTAATTTTAATTCTTTTTATTTTTCTTCGCATATTTTATTTTTATATTTTATTTTTATTTGATTTTTGCAAACAATTTACAATTTCCTGATGAGTGAAACTCAGAATAGTGATAAGTGAACAGTTAATTTTATTTATTATTATTATTATTATTATTATTATTATTTTCTTTGATTTCTGGCGTTTACACATTTCTTTCCAGGTCCCGCCCAGGGACCTAAGGTTAGAAATGGCATCATGACACTTTCCACTGACAAAAAAAAAAAAAAAATTACATAGATAAAGCCCTTCGTACAGTGTGGGCTGTACTTGTCAGAATAATTTTTTGTATCTCCTTGAGGCATGGACTTCCAGGAATCCCTTCAATTAGTCTACTGCAATCTTTTCCAACCAGTCCTAGGGCTTCAACTACAACAGGGATTGTTGATGTTCCCATATGCCACATTTTCAAGATTTCTATTTCAAGGTCCTTGTATTTTGACAGCTTTTTGAATATCTTCAAAGATACATTGTAGTCAGCAGGGACTGCCATATCAATAAGGAGGCACCGTATTTGTTTGTGGTCTTTAATAACAATATCTGGGCGGTTGGCCTTGTTATTATTATTATTATTAGTAGTAGTATTATTAATTTCTATCTATTCTATCTATCTATCTATCTATCTATATATATATATATATATATATATATATATATATATATATATATATGCCGAGGGTGTGTGTAAATTATTATATTAATTTATTTTTGGTGAGCAATACTTTAGCTTGGGGAAAAATGGTATTTTGTAAGAAAAATATTCTGTAAATTATTTTTTTTCAGATTAAAAACTTAAAAGTCATCTAGGTTACAAAGCTTCCATAGTCACAAAGGATTTGCAATCATCTGTCTCAAGTTCTAAAAAAAAAAAAATTGAAGAAATCCTAAAAGATAAAATTTGCAAATCATGAAAGGTAAAAATATTTTTTCAGAATATTATATGTGAGAATAAAAAAAAAATTACAAAAATTTCCAAATTAAAAATGTGTGAAATCTTGATGTCTCTGAATGTAAAATTTGATTAGAAGATTAATGAAAAAAAGAAATCAAACATATTTTTATAAAAAGAAAAAAGCAATCCTGGAATAGTGCCACAAAATGTTTGGAATTATGAGCAATATTGATGATTTGTATATTAATAAGTTCTCTGAAAAACTTG